CGAGGATGACAAGGCTGAAGTTTTGATAGAAAACACGGATTATGAAAAATTATTGTTTTATGCTTATGCTATTGACATTGATGAACAAGGTCAAATCATTATTGGTTGTTGCAGAAAATTACTACTGTTTAATCAAGATGGGAAATTTATTAAAAACATCGACATAGAGAAAAATGTCCCAGATTGTCCTTACAGTATTTGTTGCAGAAATAGATGTATTTGGGTTTCAGATAAAAGTGATTCTTCGCTTCGGCTTTACTATTATTGAAACAGGTTTTAGAGATACAGTATATACTGTACAGTATGTCAATAAAATTTGACACCTTTAAACATTCAGATAAATACCAAGTTGATCATTTAGAAGGATGTATCAACTTCTGACGAGACTAAATGAAAACAATTTATTTTTCACTGAATTACAATACAATTAAGAATGCATCTTCATTCAAAATAACAACATCCGTTTAATATCATTGGATGCGCCCTTCTTAAAAATGGCCTCATCTTTGGAATTGGTATTACAGCTCCCAGCCACCAAGTTCTTATGTGAATGAATGAACAGTATCATTCACAGATATAGGCCTAGATGTGTAAATTGAATTAAAATGAAATAAAATACAAATGCAAATTTTAGCCTGACAGTGAGTGTGTTCAAGAACGAATTGATTAATTTTATTAAGTTCTTGAATGATGTGGTACTAATCACTGAATTTTATATTATTTGAATGTGCAAAATAAAATTATAAATGATAAACATAACAATGTAGCATTTTGTAGACCGAATTGATTCACTTGTTAAGTAATGAATTGCTAATTATAATACTGGAATTTAAAAAAAGATACAAATAATCAGTAGTGAAAATTCAATGTAAAGAAATATATTCAGCAGTAATTTATTTTTATCATGGTGCTTTAAGGATTTAATTTTATTTCCTTATCTGTTTCTCCATTTAGTTGATATTGATAGGCCTATATTTAGTTTGTTCAAATTATATTTATGTTACTGTACATATATTACTACTTAAGACTGTATCGATAGGCTTTTGAACTAGAATATATATAATAATGCCAAAAAATTTATAGCGCCCAATTCCAAATGAATGATCAAAGACACTGCATGTTATTACCCCTGGCCACTGGCTAATATACAATGGCAAACAAGCACAAAGTGCAACCTTCTCTGCTCCTTGGGAAGTATACCTAGTACCAATGGCGGATCCAGAATTTTTCAAATGAAAAGGGGGGGGGGGGGGGCGCAACATATTTAGAATAGATAAGCAAGTTGCGCTAATTTCAATATCCAGTGGCAAAATGGAGGCCCCCTACTGGATCCGCAACTGAGTACTCAGCGCACGCAACTAGTACAAGAAATGCCAAAACATCCTACCAGGTACCCTTTATACTTCTGGGGATTGAGAGAGACAAACGTAAATTGACTTGCCCAAGGACACAAGGGACTTAAACAGCGAGAGTTCCGAACCCCTGACCCACTTATATCAATCCTAGCCAGCTGAAATAATTTGTTTAACCTTTCTTTTGTCATTTGGTTGTTATTGTAAATGTGTAATAGTTTGGCTGAATAAAGAATGAATGACGGAATGAGCAAACGATAGCAGTGTCTGTCATTTTTAAATTGTAAAAAAAAAAAGTATTTTCTCAATAAGCTTATTTCATTAATTGTTTATAAATCCTTGGTATAAAACACATTTAGAATGAATTATACTATATATAGGAATCTTTCCACCGGACTCTGCGACAGAGTGAAGGATTACGGTTCTTTTCTACCGCATACTGTTACCACGTCCAGTGGAAATTCTTGTACAGGTATATGTTAATGATGAATATCAAAGTGCATACATTATACAAACCTATACACAAATACAAGATCGTAAAGTAAGAAGTACTGTAAACGTTTTAGATTCTTTTGGAGTTTGGCACTCTCGACAAAAAAAAAAAAAACCAAAAAAAACCTACATACATATACAAACCTATACACAAATACAAGATAAAGTAAGAAGTACTGTAAACGTTTTAGATTCTTTTGGAGTTTGGCGCTCTCGACCAAAAAAAAAAACCAAAAAAAAAAAACCCCTAGACTGGATTTGACATGGCGTTATGAATTCGTCAGAAGTAGCGAGGCATAAATAGTTATAGACAGATAGATATGTTCGAAATATGTAGAATGACGTCGTGTTATAATATGCACGTCTTTCATTATAATGGTCTTTGCTTGGACAAAGATCAAAGCACATAAAGTGACCAAAGTTCCAGATAGAAAAACCCTGTGTAAAACATAGGAAACCAGGATAGAAGAAGAAAAAATTAGAATAAAAACTGGCTTTTTCTGCTAACGCAGAAAAGGTCAGCTAGACTTACTAATGTCTGTTTATTTTAAAATTTATGTATTAAGCTTCATCACTGCACACACGACGAGGAAAGGTAACAGAGTATAAAGACAGAAAAAGCAGCGAAAAGGGGGGATGGACAGGTGTCAAGCAACTCTATCAAAATCCCCCTTGAACCAATTAACGTCACATCAAACAAAATATGTGGAAAATTGCTCGTTATAAGATACGGTACAAAATACTACAAAATACAAGTATAAAAAAAGAGATACTGTAAATACATTGAACATTAGAAAATATAAATTTCTATATTATTACAAGACAGAACATAATTTAATTATTATATATTTAATTAAACTAATGCATACAATTACATTTTTTAAAAATTGGCAAAAATGTAAATATCTAGGTAACATAATTGATAAAAAATCGAGATATCAAAAGGAGAAAAGGTTTAACTGTAGTTGGCTACAATAAAGTAAAATTTGCACTAGAAGATAAACGCTTCCCAACTAATAACAGAAATGCGACTCTTCAATGTATATTTATTGGTATAATATTTTTTATGTAATAGCGAACTGTGGGCAGTAAATGTATCAATGGAGGATAACATAGTTATTAATCAGCAACATATGCAATGATGAATGTAGAAAAATGGAGAAAAGGCAACGTTTAAAATGGCACGGGCACCTAATTAGACTTCCAGAAGATTCTCCAGCGAAATTAGCGCTAAATGAAAGTTACAGAAAAGTTCAAATGCCTGCTGTGTGGAAGACCAATTAAAATATTGATAAAATTAATTGAAGATGACCTCAGACATTTTGTGGACACTAACCAAGCACACTTAATACACACCCGGCCCACCACAGAAAGCACTGGCTCGAGTTGGCAGAACGCGCAATGTCAACGACGAGCTAGCTTACAGTCTGATGATTATACAATAACATTAAAAATAGAAATAAAAACATGCGATATTATAAAATAGAAACGTTATTAAATTATTGATTATTTGTTTATTTTTGTTTGTTTCTCATTGACATAATGATAACTGATGTTGAACTTAGAAAGTAAAAACAATACCGTAAAACCTCGAATTGAAGCCCTGGGTTTCTTTTTTTGTTTTGTTTTTGCGGACTTTGGGTGGGCTTCTTTTCAAAATGAATGCTATATGTTTTGTGGATTTTACTATAAAACAATAAATAAGGCCACTGTAACATCAGTCTGTATCATGGAGGGTTAACTGGTATTAAATCACAAAACTACTGTATAATCCAAGCTTGTATTTAATTTATTTTGTTTTCTGAAATTCGTGTATAGTGTATGTACAGTACTATCTCGAAAAGAAGCCTATGCTATCTTGAAAAGAAACCCATGGGCTTCTCTTCGAGATGGGCTTCTTTTGGAGGCTAATTTTGCAAACTAAAGCGGGGGCTTCAATTCGAGATGGGCTTCATCTCGAAATTAAGCCCACTGGGCAAGCCCAACAGTCATGAAAAGTATGTAGAATAACGTCATCGTATTTTAATATACAGTACACAGGTTTGATATATGGTCTTTGCTTGGAAAAAGTTTGAAAAAAAAGAAAAGAAAAAAAGATCCAAGTACGGAATGTGGCCAGAAAACCCTGCTATATAAATAGGTTTGGTTTATAAGTGTGTCGTTACAAGCTTTGTAATTGTTTACTAATAGACTTGGTGTGATACTATTAAAATGGTATGGTATCTTTCCTGGTATAAATTTCGATAGATAAAATTATGCTTGCTATATAATTGATGTATGTAGAGTTCATAAAACCTCATTGGTTTTCATATAAATAAGAAAATAATATTTTGGGTTTTGGGTATGCTTGCTTTTGTTGTAAACCGTTTCATCGACTGTCTAATCAGTACCATCATCATTACGACTGTGACTTGCTCTTGCTAAGTCCTGTCTCTTATACACATCTGTAGAACGCGCACTACCAAAAAAGACGAAGTGAGGGAAAGTTGTCGATGCACACGGCCAATCCGAATCACAATATCAACAAAGAACTTGCCGTATTCATTAATAAACGCCCGCTCTAGAGCCTCATTTTGGAATAAACGCCTCTCCCTCCAATAAACTCCATCTAAATGGCTATAAATAAATCTAATGGAAGCAACATCATTCTCAAAGTCCAGACCTTGATATTATACTTCCAGTAGAATTACATTTTCCCCGGTTCTCATCAACCAGAGCGTTTATTCGAATAAATACGATAAATGAGTCAGATAAAGAGATTTCAGGAAAGGTAGGCCAGTGGTTATAATCAATATTGCAGATACGAACAAATAACTTGAAAAAGTTTCTCGTCGAGTTCACGCTACTCGCCACCCATCTGAGGAATTCTTTCTCCCATCTGAATTTAACACCTAATTACACAAACCACATTACGCTCTTCATCCCATAGTGAATTATGTTATATGTTATGGTCCACCAGCTTGGCCGATACTTATCACTTTTGTTGGACAAACAACAAATCTAGTAAAAACATAGAGATATTTACTATAATTTATCTATAATAAAAGCAGTGTGAGTAAAGTGGATATAGGCTATGTTTAAGATTTTCAAGTGCGCCACCGCTGTCAATTTGCACCACCTTAAGTACCGTATAATCAGAAGCCATACGTAGTTGTGGCTTAAACAGACTGTGTTTAAGTTCATCGACTGAAGACACCGTACGATATTGGAGAATGCATAACACGTTAATAAAAATGACGACATAATTATGAACAACACAGCTGAATTTTGACTTTTTGAAGCACACGTGTTGAGGTAAGCCTATGTGTTTAATATTAGAATACACGTATGCTATAAATTCTGTGCTAAATTTTGCAGTTGCGAGAACATTCCCTCTGCTGTATAGATGATGAGTTCAAATTCAGAATAAATAATAGGCTATATCAACCGCATGGGTAGTTATCATACATTAGTGATTATGTTTCTAGTCGCATGTTAGCGTTGAAATTAGATAGGTGGACTAGAATTATATACATAGGCTTATTATTCTGTAGAAAGTCCAATTCGGCCTTCTTGCATCTTCTTGATGTTTTTTCATATGTGGGTGCGTGCGTAATTTTAAATTAATAAATAAAAAAACGATATAT